TTATAGACAGCTGATCTGGGAGTGATATTTTTGACCAAATTTAAGGGATACAAAACCAGCCCTCCCTGCCAGCTTCTTTGCATGACATAATGGGTCCACTGACCCACACAAATGAAAAGGTATTTGGTTCTTTTTATACTCTTGCTTTTAAAGCTTCTTGATAATCCAAACAATGTTCTGGTTAGATGTATACCTTATTAAGATCATAACTGTTCTATCATTCTGAAGACAAAATTTTGATTTTTTGGAGCTAGAGAGCTTGTGAAATTAAGTATATCCTGTTACAGAGTACTCTGCTGTCCTCTTAATTAAATCACAGTGGCTTTTTGTTTTTGCATAAAGCCCCTAGGATTGAACTTATATCTGAAAAAGCTCCTGCCATCCTATTTGTTTGAATGTTGGAAAGGTTCACAGGAAAGTCATCAGTTTAGTCACTGAGAGATGAACATTTTAAGGCATTTTTGTCCTTATTCAAGCACTTCTCCATTATTCTTTCACTAATTCACAGCCTGTTGCAGATATGACCTCCATCCTCGTCTCCTCAAACACACACTATACATCTGACTTTAACTTGAGTGAACCCAGGCTGCCCAGTCCTCCTCATCACTTATTGCTCATCAGTCTCAGTGTTTATTTGGCAAGGTTTAGCATCTCTGGCACTTGGAAGTACCAACAGCATTAGGGTTTTGGGCCTATGCCCGTAGATGCCTGCAAGAAACCCTGCTCCCCTCTGCTTATACAACAAGGATTCCCCATGGAGGACTATGCTTTGAGAACAGTTAATTAGTCAGTTTAATCTAGGTAACTGTGCACGCTGATCCTGTTTTCATTTTTAATATGTTGGTAAGCAAAGATATGTCATGTACCTTATCTAGGTATATCAATGTAACAAATATATAAAAATACCTTTGTCAAACGGACTTTCAATCTCACAGCAATTTTTGGTCAATTAAACAAATACCTTGACATGCTAAACCATGCTTACCTACTACTTAGGGACACAGCGAGGATTAATTAGTTAATAGACTAGATTAAATTAGGGCTGCCCTATTGAATGGAGTTTTTTTTTTTTTTTTCTTAGGAGGAGGAAAACATAATACTGCTTCTTCACCCTCCCAAGAGTCTGGTCAGGTTTAGAGAGCCCTCTGGACACCATCTGCCACAGGAAGTCACTGTCTAAGCTCGCATTTAATAGACAAGGAAAACCTGAGGTGAGGAGCAGTTCTGGGGGAAACACAAAAGSCATGAGGAATCTCAAGCAGCAACGCGCTGCTGAAACACAGCGACCCGGGGTTAGGCAGGCAGACGGTCGGTGCTCGGCAGTCCGAAAATACCCCTGTGGAATCAATAAGCAGCACCGGGGCCGGGGTGACGTAAAAGGCAAGATAACTCCATTACGAGGCCTGGAGTCAGAGGGAGTTTTGTGCCGCTGGAGCGGTGATGGGCCCGGAGCGCTGGGGGGTGCGCGATGCCCCGGGGGGGTGCGGGGTGGGCGCGGACAGGGGCTGTGCTGCAGCCCGGGTCGGGTGCGGGTGCGGGTGCGGGGTCCGGTCCGCCCCGCGCGCGGGACTCGCCCCGCGCCCGCCCAGCGGAGCTTCAGCACCGCGGACAGCGGCCGCGCCCGGCCGGCCGGGGGGCGGCCCGCGGGGGGCAGGGGGGACAGGGGGTAAACGGGGGGACAAGCAGGACACGCGGAGCTGCCCCCAAACACGAGGGCTTTTCCGATGCCGCCGGAGTCATCCCCAGCGCCGCGTTCGCMCAGCCCGGCTGTGGCGGATCCCGGTCCCCGGGATGTCTCCGGGGCGCCGCGCGGAGCTGGGCAGCCCCAGCCGGGCTGGGCGCTCGCCCTTGGCCCCCATCTCACATTCCCTCCGCGCTCACAGCCCTCCCGCCGCCTCTTCATCCCCCTGGGACCCCCGCTCCCCCGCCTTGCTCTCACTTTCGGTTTTGGGGGTCTCGGTAGCCTGCAGCGAGGGAGCTGCCGATGCAGAGGGGCCGGCGGCTCCTGCATYCCCTCGCGGCGCTGCCTATGGATCCCGTGCCCCGCCATCCCTCCCGCCGCCTCCGCTCCTCAGCAGCGGGCTCAGCCGGTGCCGGCGGGGCCGGGGTCCCCCAGAGGAGCCCGGGGTGCCGCGCACCCCCCCGGGACCGTCCCCCCGAGCCCCCCCCCGGGGCCGCGGGCACTCACCGGGGGCGGCTGCGCTGCTGCAGGCGGCGGGGGGGCTGCGCTGGGCACGGGCGGCTCCGCGCCCGGCCGCGCACGCAGGGCCCGGGGAGGCGGGAGGGAGGGAGCCCGGGTGGAGAGAGGGAGGAGAGAGGGGAGGAGGGATGGGAGGAGGGAGAGAGGGAGGGAGGATGGAGGAGAGAGCGGGCGGGGGGGGAGGGAGGATGATGGAGCGAGGAGGGATGGAGGAGGGATGGAGGAGGGAGGGCGCTGCAGCTCCTCGCTCCCCCGTCACCTGCCGCACGGCACCCGCCGGCCGCACCGCGCGCGGAGGTGCCCCGGAGCCGCCGTCAGCCGGGTCCCCTGCGCTGCCCCGGTGCCTGGATGCAGGAGCACGGAGCCCTCTGCACACTGCCCAGCTCCCCGGGAGCACCTCTCCCGCTCACTCCCCAGGGATCAAGGGGCAGAGGCTGGAAAAACTCCCGCTTTGTTTTCTCTTTGAACCACTTAGTGAGATTTGGGTGCTAATGCCGTAATCCTGGAACAGGCAGAATTAGGGCTAAAGCAAGGTTGTGTGGCCGCACTGCYCTGCACGGTGGCTGGGAGGGAAGGACACACAGACCATGGTCTCCGTGTGATCCCTGCCTGCAGCTTGGCCTGCTGCGAGGAGCCGAGCTTCCATTCACAGTATTCAGGTGCAGAATGTTTTATATAGAGGTGTGCATAAATATAAATGTATATACGCAATACATCTAGGTAAAGCTGCCTTTGAGGACAGCGGAGGTTCATGCTAAAAATGTATTTTTTCATCTTGCTTTTTTTCCCATAATTTTTCCAATTTGCTTCCAGAAATGTTCCCTTTATATCCTAAATGGTCTAATCTCCAGTGATGTTTGGAGAGGAACAGATTCAGCCTCTATAAAAGCTGCATGCCAAAAATTCCACCATCCTCCTGGAAGTGGGAAGTGCCCCGGTGGGAAGAGGCTTTCCATCCTCTAAGCATCAAARTCTGTAATTCCTGGTAAATCTGAGCCGTGGTGCCCTTTGGCTTCTGCTCCCCTCAGGAAGCCATCAGGAATCACATTGCTGGTGACCAGTGACCTTCTGGGATGCAGCACAGACAAACCTGCCCGGGATGTCAGCGACCTCGTCTGTGCCCRGAGGGACCTGAGCGGCTTCTCCCATCCCCTTTCCAACAGGAATTGCTGTGSTCTCTTCTGGCCCTTTCCAGGTGATGCCATCTTTGCCTCTCTTTCTTATCCAGCTCCTTCCTTTCTCCAGCTTTGCTTTYCTCCCTTGATCCCTCCCTCTGAGAAGAATTTGGCAGCATCTCTTTTCCCAAATAAAGGACAGGAAAGGTCCTTTTCCAGGTGGTTCCTGGCCAGCAGAAAGTGYCATCACTGATGACACACTCCCTTCCTTTCCTGATGCTCTGCACAGTCACTTGCTTCCCCAGCAGCCTGTGGGGTGAAATGAAAACGAGCTCTCAGCCCTGATCCCCTCTGTGAACCACAGAGTCTCTCTTTTCTCTGCCTGAAAACCAGGGATTATGAGTAAAAATAGTACAGTTTCCTCAAAACAATTTCCTCTCAAAAAGACTGTTTCCACAAAACTTTTTTTTTTCTTTCCCCAAAAGTGAGCTGATTTGAGCCATTTCCAAAGAGAATGTGTTTGAAAAAATGCCTTTGTAAAGGTGAAGCTGCTTTAGGAAAAAAAAAAATTTTTTTGATCAGAAATCACACTTCAAATCAGCACGTGAATTTGGGATTACTGTCTATTTTAAAACGTAGGCTCCCGAGCTCTGCTGGACGCTCATGTGGAAAAGTTGTGGAGTTTTTCCCTTGTTCTCCTCTCCCTAGGCTGCAGCCTCTCTGGTGGCTGCTGTTGGGCAGATGGCACCGAAGGCACAAGCTCAGCAGCGCTCTTGTCCTTTAGAAAAGGCACTCCAGAGCGTCCATTCTCCTTCAGGAAAGATGGATGTGTTTGYCCCCAAGGCCATGTTTGTCAATCCGTTGCCAGCTCTCCATGACTGGAGGTACTTGGACTTTTCACAGAGGTCTCTGCACGGTCTGCAGGTTGGAGATCCAGGGTTGCTGTGTGGCAGGGCTGGGAGTCTGCCTAGATCCGGGATCACAGGATGCATCACAGCACAGCAGGAGCTCCCGCATGTCTCACGCTCCGCGGCGTCTCCAAGCAGAGTCCAGGTGCAGTCCTGCAGGAGCGTCAGTGGTTTTAGGAACATGGCCAGAACGCTCGATCAGGTTTTGTCTTTTGCCTCAGTTGAAAACCCAGCGGGTGTGAGTAGCCAGCAGGGTCAAAGTGGTGGGAGCTTTACTGTAGGAGGATAGGAGGAGGGATTAATCTTGCTGCCTCATCTCCAGCTGATGACTCGCAGTATGAGGAACACCAAAGTGAGGAGGGATAGTCTTGTAATTTAAACCCTGATTGAGACTTCGGAAAACCTCTCTGGAGTTGCCGGCTCCGTTACAGGTTTCTCATGTGAATTTCATTATTCTTTGTGCTTTCAAAGCTGGGAAATGACAGTGAAAACACTGCCCAGGCCCACGGGTGCCACCTGCATAGGCTCAAGCTCTTCCTCTCAGTGCTCTCATGGGATCCTGACCTCATGTGGGGCACATCAGTGGGCAGGTGATGTTAGTTGGGCAGATGACAGAGAATCAGCTGGGAACATGTAGCACCTTGGCTGGTCCCTGGATGGATCCATCTCCTCCTGGACCCCTGGGACATGAGACTGCAGCTCTCTGGGACATGACTGCTGCTCCTGGGGTGGCTTTGGCACTCTTTGGTTGCAGCTTACAGCGCTTGGGTGGAGAACATGGAACAACTGCTCCCATCCGACACCTTGCACGCTCACATGGAGACCAGGTACCCGAGTGTTGAAGTCGTTACCATCAGAGCTGTGTCTGAGCATCCCACCCAGCTCCAGGCTGGCATTTCTGGCAGACTCTTCCCTATCAGCAGCACGTAGACATGATGCCCTCAGTTGTGTCAGCACCATCCATCGCACGGGGCATCACAACGGCCGGGCTCCCCTTGGCACAGGGCAGGGATACGTCTGGATATACCGCTCTTGTCCCCCGCTCCGCTCCCTGCTGCATCYCTGGGCACGGCTGCGACAGGGATGCGGCGGCGTGTGGGGAGCTGGGCAAGGCGCTGCTGGAGCCGGAGGGGATTAAACGATTCAGTGTTTGGAGGCTGCAGCTGGAGATTTAAAGGACCAGATGCTGCTTTTTTTTTTTTTTTTTTTCACTTTCTCCAGAGAAGATTGTTTTTAATAACAAAAATGGGCAGAAGTGTGCGCATTGCCTTTCATTTCTCTTTGCTCTATGGTTTGATACTAGTATTTCATCAGGGAAGAACGAGCCGCAAAAACAGGTCACTTATCTTTCCATCACATAAAACTTGCTGTGTTGCTAAGTGTCGGCTGCTGCCCTTCTGCATGTGCATGCTCTCTGCATGCTTTAGCTTTTACTAATTTCAGTTGATATAGCAAGAGTGCAGCGAGCTGCAGGTTTTAGGCTTGGTTACCTGTGCTGAGAGGTCACAGCTAGTGCATCATATAGCACGGGAAGGATTTTTAAGCTCATCAGAAGCCTGGAAGGATCTTGCTTCCAAGCATGTGGCTAGGATAACCACATGCCTATGTACCGGAAGCTATTGTTAATTCAGGTCTTCTCTAAATGATGTCACTGCAGTCTGGTTTGGATTCGTGGACCAATCCTCTATATGAGAGCCTCTCTATAGGAGAACAGTCATATTGAAAGGCAAAGAGATTTGTGTACTTCTTTAGCAAACAGAAGATTTAGCACTTTGGAAATCTGCTTTCTTACCAGATACTGACAGTTCCTATGATCCAGGGCCAGGTGAGGCTTTGTCCCCTYGTTTGGGAGTCCTGCCCTGTGCAAGGCTCTAGCATTGCTGCGTTGCACCGGGAGCAACCATCAGCAACAGTGAATCCGCCTTCCTGCCTGAGCATCCCTGATCCTGTTGCAGTATGCGGGTGAGATAAAGAGAGCATATAATTGTAATGGAAGCAAAAGTCTGGGTTTTTTAGTGAAAAGGGCAGATGTGTCCACTCTGCTTGACRGACATTTGCTAATCTCAGTCTAAAAGCCTCTCTACTACTTTGCCAGTTACAAGCTCTCAGCACTGAGGGACTGGTTCATGATGGTGTTCTGAGGCCAAGACTTGGGCAAGAAGACACATGTCCTAGTGGGGGTTACATGCCATSAAAAAGGATGTATTGCCCCAGGATGTCTTGATGTAGAGGCTCTAGTGGGACCTGGCTTGCACCGCTGCAAAGCTGCATGTGCCAGAGCAGGTGATGGTCTCCATCTGGTCTCTGCTGCCCATTGCAAGGGGCAGGAGTGTCCTGTTCATTGTGGGGCTSCCCATGTGCAGGAGAAGCTGTTTCTGGCAGCCTGAGAAAACAGGGGCAGCCCCAAGTGTGCTTGTTTACCTTTTATACACTAAGTAACCTGCATCCTCCAGCTGAGAGCGCCAGGTTTAAAATAGTGCTCCTCGGGGTATTTCAGCTTTCAGTTGCTCATTTTCACTGGAGACTGAGCTGCTGAAGAGAATATTTTCTTTGAATTTTAGCTGCTTGGTTTATCCATCTTCCTGCTGATAATGGACAGAGCCTTGTCCATACCAGGGCTTGACACGAGGCTGCTGTTTGAACACAGGCTTTTGCTTCGCACGCAAATGTGTGAGTTCGTTGCTTGGTGTTTGCTTTAGCCAAAAGCACAGAAAGTTCAAGTAAGCAATGCAGCAAAACCCTGCGTGTCCCAGAAAGCTCCTGTCCTCCCAGGAGCCAGCCCTGGAGAAAAGCCTTGGCTCCTGATATCCCGCAGACTCAAAAAAGGGGTCTCAGGAATTTGGCAAGAGTGCGCTACATGTCTTCTCAGTAAGTAGGTGGCACYGTGGAAACAAGATGACTGTTCTGATTTGTGATCAATGACATTTCCACTGATCTGCTGTCCCAGGGTGGTCCCTTCCTGCCCAACACAAAGACGAGGGCAGTGCGGAGAAGAGCGGGAGCTGGAGATGAGGACCTTCTGCAGGGAGCTGCTCTTTGGATCAAGTGCAATTTCTCAGGTGAGATTCAGCTAAGATGTTTTGGAGAGGACACTCCATGTCTGCTCRAGCTTCGGATTGTCATTTTGGGTCTCAGTTGAAGGGCGATGGATCAAAACCTGCATCTCTGAAGTCACCGTGGATTTAATATCATAATGTAGYCTTGGCAAAATGCTTCTTGGAAGGGAAGAGTGGCCCCTATTGAATTACGCTGCTTAAAATCTCTTATTCAAGAGCTGGCAGGGCCTGGTGCAGCTCTGCTTACAAGAGATAAGATCGTAGCCTGAGGTAGCACAACTTTTGGTTTTAATTTGGCATTCATTATATCATTATCAGCGCTCAGGGTCGCAGATCACTTACGGAGCTGCTCAGGGGATAAGCAGCACCTTGCCTCCTTGGACCRGGCCCATCTGTGAGCACTGGGGAGTCTACACATGCCCCATATGCTGGGCTTTGGGACAAGGGCTTGGCTGGGGCTTTGGGGTCTGAGACTTCTGGTAGAGGTTCCTGTRTTATGGAGCAAGCATCCTGATTGCTCACGTCCCCAGGAGACAGCCAACTGTGTCCGCTTGGTGCAGCAAAGATTGAGTGACTGAAGGGTTGAATGAYTGTAGGGAAGTTGTCAGGCTGGAGTGGTAAACGTGCTGAGTTTTCACCCCTGCTAATCCGGTTCCTTGGTGCCCCAAGCTGAGTCCCCAGCTCCAGGGTTTCTCCAGCCCTTGTCCTTCCTGTTCTGATGTCCCCCAACACCTACCAGCCCACCTGGATCTCACCACTTCTCTGCTGTACCAGGCAAATGGGATTGTGTGAATTATGCAGCCTCTTCGTGGCCCTCATCTGATACACGAGTGTGTTCTGTCCATGAACGTACCCCCGAAAGGCTTTGAAAATAATGCAAAARAAGGAACACAAACCAGATGGCTTCTCCATGAAAATTAAGATAGGATTTCAGATTATTTTGTGTATCTTCTAGTAACTGAAAATAGCCTCCTTTCTGTTTGTTGAGGCAAACAAGATGAGACGTTAATATGCACACCATGGCAGTAAATAGGTTTCAAGTAAGCTTCTGCAGGAGTGGGGGAGGATGTAGTACAGCATGCTTTTCATTACTGATGTGCCACTTAGTATTCAAAAAAAAATCTGTTATTAAAGCACAGGAACATTGGAGAGTCAAGAAAAAATACAGCAATTTTTCTACTGGTCTGTAGCCAGAAATACTGTTCTTTTTTTCCTTTTCCTTTTTTTTTTTTTTTTTCCAGAACAGGAGTTAAATAATACTACCACTTCTCATTCAGTTAGATATAAGGTTAAGAAAGTGCTTATCTGGGGGAATGATGAATGATTTTTGAATTGGCTCAGGATTAAATACGGTGTAGCTTTGGAAAGCAGTTGAATAAATGAAACGCTGTTTGAGTCGACCCACTCTGGGCTTGACTACTTTTTAATTATTATTTTTTTGGCCGTTACCTTTGTACATTTATTTTAAATGCCTGCCTTATGAAAATTGCATCTCATGGAAAATCCAGTGGGATTTTCCTCAGACAAGTAAATGCCTTCTATGAAAAAAGCCATGCATAATTTCAGGCGATGGCTTCAGTCTCATGAAACTAGTGATGAACTGAACTGGAAAGTAGCATTAAATAAGGACTTATTTATAGGATTGTATTATAGGATTCTTTATATGGATTTTTTATAGGATTCCAAGGAGCCTCTAAACACCCGTTGCCTGAATTCCACGTTTCCACTCTTGTTCACAAGACAGCAGAAGCTGCCCAAAACTCTGCACCATGCACAGGGCACCCAGTGCCTGGAAGCCACTTAAATACATTTTAGATATACATCTCTGCATTGACTTTTGACATCCCATGGGCGTGTTAAACCATCACCCTGGCATTTCTATGAGGTTTCTGGCACTGAAGCATACAGGACAGGATCCAGGATGATAGGGTATGATGGATTTTTGACTCTTTCCAGTCTTCACTACGGAAATAGTTATGTTTATCAGTATAATCAGTTTGTGTATGTTGTTTTTATTGAAACAAAGYGGTGTTTCATTGATTAAGAGTAAATAACAGTTTACTTAAAACTTCCCAAATAAAGCTAAATTGCTCTGAATAAATTGATTCTTAAAGTAAAATCTGACCACCCAGCACTTTGTGTAAAGATTTTCTTTAAGATAACCAGGGTGCAGCTTCTTCCCTGCGGACCCAAGTTGCCGCCCATGGAGTTTATCCAAGCAGATCTTCTACTTTTACAGTAGCAGAGCTCTGTGCACTTAAACCTGAGCTGAACCTGCCCTCCTTGCTTTCCAAGGTTCCTTTCTGATGTTTTTTCAATTTGGAGATTGTATATTTCTGACATACTGTAAATGTAGAGCTGGGTGTTTTAATCCCTGTCAATGACAGCCCTTGCTAACCTGATCATCCCATGCAGCAGTTGGTTTGTTTTCCTTTTGCATTGGGCTCATGACATCTTCTGATGAGTGAGAGGGGATGTGACTCATCAGTATCTTCTGGATGAGCTGGCCAGAAATTATACATGGCTGTTAACAATCTTTTTGTACGTTAATACTTAAGTAAGTGGGATTGTGATTGGCTTTGTGTCATGCTTGCTGTCGAATGCGGCTGCTTGGCTGCTCTTGGGAAATGGTCTCAACCCTTRTCCCATGCAGGACTGAATGCCCCAAAATTTTGTTATGGAGCAAGTAGATGAATGGAGCCAAAGGGTTGAGTTATGGTAGCACAAATCCAATGGACACATTTTTGGTGAGCAACTTGGCAAGGAAAGCAGCTACATGCATATTTAGCATTTATTGTAACTGCTTTGGGCAACCATTCACTTACAGAGACTTAATCAAAAGTGGTGATTTGGCAAATTGTAAAAGCAACAGCTGATAAAGCCAAAAGAAGTCAATCTGGCCTTTTGATCAGCGATGTTGTTGGGGCAAGTGGGCAGCAGACACAGAGCAAAGCCCACCTTTCTTCACGATGATGATCCTGAAGGACATGTACCAATGTGGAAGTGACCTGTTCTGTTTGTGAGAGGGGTCTCTCTTTCTCCCAGTCTCCTCCTTGGACTGTCTTAGCAAAAGTTCAAGGGGAAAGGGGCAGGCTGGCTTGCCCAAAGAGTCCCTGTCCCCTGGCAGGGCTATGGGGGTGCAGAGGAGCCCACAGGGTCSTGCCAGAGTCCTCGCCTTGGCCACGGTGGACTTTGGCTTGGAATAAACAAAGGAAGCCTTTCCGTGAACTCACACAACCTTGGATTGGGATCCCTTCAGAAATGCCTCAGATCCCTGCTTTTTACTCATAGGTTAGTGATTCCTGCTTGCACAGTCTTCACTTCTTGGAGCTTTTGGATCAGCGAGCCTGTTGCACTTGTAGAAGTCTTCTCTGTCACATCTTTATTGCTAGGGGAGAAAAACATATTTTAGCAAAAGCTTATATTTTAGCCATCTCCAAGATTTTGACCGAGGACTTTGTTGTGGCTATAAAACACTGTGCTAAAGAGTGTTGCAAGCAAAGCTGGTGGGTTTTCAAGCCAGCTTCAAGAAGTTTAACACAGGAGGCACAGGGAATAAAAACAAAGCATGCTGTGAGGCGTGCAGTGCTCATGGCCAAGAGCGGGGAGCCCACGCGATGCAGCCGTGCCTGCAAATTCTTGTCTGGAGCCCAGAAAAATCAATGGGCTCCTGGTGAGTCCCTTGACCTGAGGATTAGGCAGGATGTACATTAGGAAGTTTAAACTCATCAACATGGTCAGTAACAACATAGATTTTTTTTTTTAAAAAAAGAAAGCTATGCAAATGATGCTAAAGAACGTGGTTTAAAATATTAGCTCTGGCAGAGGAAGCCTGCTGAAGTTTCAAAAAAGGGAACAAATATTCAATAAATTAAAAAGACAGGAGCTGGCTGMGAAGCAATTGCTTTGTAAGCAAAAGCTCCTTTCGCAGGCAGCACAGACCGTGCTCAGCGAAGCGACATCGCTCAGCTACTCGCTTGGGGAGTAGATAGGACTATCACAAAACCCACGTGAAGAAATAGCTCCAGTTTGCACTTTCATTGGCATTCGGGGGCTTGACAGAGGTCCAACAAGTCTTTCCATCTTTTTCCGTTGCAGAGAAGATCTTCCCGAAAAGGAGCTGACCCATTTGGGAGTATGGGAGGAAAAATTTACTGTTGCCAATGCAGAGATCCAGGAGTGCCAGCCCCTCACCCATCACAAGCAGCAGTTGCCTTGCATTTTACATTAAAAGTCAAAGTCTAGAAAATATATATATAATTTTTAAACCTGGACACTTTTTTTTAATGCAACCAGTATGTGTGACTTTGATGCTTTCAGGACAAAAATCTAGATCATACAGCACTATTTTCTGTGATCATTTCCATTACCTAGTAAATCTGTAGCACTTTTATCTCCTACAGCTTTGTTTCCTGGGGAGGAAGGAGGTCACAGGCTGCAAGGACAAGCTGGCAAAGATAAGTCCATTTTTGGCAGAGCAAGTAACACTTAATAGCAGGAACAAATCATTAAAATAAAAATAAATAAATGAATAAATAAATAAGTGAACAAGCAGTGTTAAATTGCTTCTGAGCAGGAGAGAGCTGGTGGTCAGTGGTTTTTTCCCCTCACAGCTCCAGCATTTCTAGTATCTCACCCATTTTCTTTTCTAAAYTCCCAGGTCTGACCTCAGCACTCAAAGGATGAGCAAAGGAGTGGCTGGCTCTGAGCCGCGCACTCGAAATACCTCCTAAAACTGCTGTAATGCTTGCAGAGCGAGTTCTGAAATGCCGATAACCTCCGATCTTTAAAACCCTTACAAGAAAAGTGAGATAAGTGTTAAAGATTTCTCTTCTGCTTTCAAATGATTGAAAGTGATGCTGGCACAGGAGGCATTAGCCTTCTGTCASTGAAGCAAAACTGAATTTTGATTAGTCCCCATTCTGCTTTTCTTTTGGCTGAAAAAAAAAAGACTTCTTTTTGCAGAAACAATTTTATTCTACCTAATTACAGAGCGCTGCGATGTGCTTTGTCCCATTTTCAGGTTCTTGTGGCATGAAGCAGTAAGCTGGGTTACCCCTGATGCTGCTTTTTCTCAATAAGGTTTTTAAGTTTTCTCTGTAATTTTTCCAGCTGTGTTTTCCAAGAGGGACATCTCCATGTGAGAAAGAGCCTGTTGGCCCTGCATTGCAGAGAAAGCAGCAACCTTCAGCTCTAACCTGATGGTAGAAATTGCACTCACATGGGTGCAGATGAATTGACCGCATACCCAGGGTCTTTCCTAGGCTGAGCTGAGCTGAGCTTCTGATGGTGCAGACACCCTGCAGGAATGCCAGGTCAGCATCCAAATACTGGAAATCTCCTGGAGTTACCTGTTTTGTTGAGTACATAGGAGGGGAATTCCTATTTTTCTTGACTCATATGACTGCTTTGCTTTCTGTCCCTGGCAAATCTGGAGCATGATGAGTCCCTAGGGCTTGGAACCTAGCTCAGGGATGTGCAGTACAGTGCCCCACTAAAGAGGGCTGCTTCCAGCTCCACACACTGCGGACAGCAGAGCTCCCTGGGTTTCCTTAAGGATGACCTCAGAATGAAAAGACTGTTGGTCTATGTGTCCATCCACCAGCAAGTGACTCCTAAAACTCTCATGCAAGCAGGTACTGCTAATGGCCAGTTCTGCAGAAGAACAAAAATCCTGATAAACAAAGTACTGCAATTCCTCACTGGTGATAGCGGGTTGGGTCTGGTCTTAGCCAATGATGGGGACTGGGCCTTGGCAATGGTCACGCTGGGTTGAATGCAGCCCAGAGCTGCAGAATGGCAGATGTGAAGGTTCAGGGCTCAGTAGGAGGTGAGATGATGGGTGGATTTGCAGAAGATTGGTTAGGTGAATGCTGAGAGGTGGTAGGGTGAGTGTTTGTGCTGCCTTGTGGCTCAGATAAAAGCAACTTGGTGACCTGCTCATACCAGCACTGGGGAATTGATTCTCACTGCAAAAGGACTGTAGGACAGCAGAAGCTCAGATGTGTTTATGGAGAAATTGGAAGCAGAGTAACACATCTGCAAATGGGCGAGTGATCTCTGTGTGCTGGAGAGCTATGAAGAGGTGGCATAGTGTGGGAGGCATTTTCCAGTACAGATGCTTTGCTGGCCTGATTGCTCCTTTTGCAGGCCCTTTGGCTTTTGGGCATACTAATACTGGGAAATACTAATATTGGGCAATACTAATATTAACTTGGTAATACTATCGGTTTTGTTCTCAGAGGTAGTCACTACTATGAGCCACTACCCTACACTCCTGCAGGAATATTAGCTGCCTTTTGTAGGATGTTTCTTTCCATTGCTTTATTTAATTTAATAGCCTTTCCTTGAGTAAATAAGCCCTTCCTACCTTAGTGTCCCCACGTGTAAAGTGGAGATGGTGCAACATTGCCTTTACCATGGCTAAGAAGTTATTTACTGTGTAGGAATTGGTCTGAAAGGTGGTTTGAAGGTGGTCTGTCAAGCAAGAGAGTGATACTGCTCATAGTAAATGAGTTTTGGGTGGCCTCAGAGACCTCCCAAGGTGTCGTGTCCCTATGTTGGGTGCAGGAGCTGGCGCCGCTGGGAGGGCTCTGCTGTCCACGTGCAACACAGTCATTGTACCTGTGTCGTGGTGCACTACGTGTCTTCATCCTTCATCTCTTTATATTCCTTCTGCCTGTCACCAGCCTCTCCAGACTCTTTCTGAAGTCAGTGAGACCATGTGCATGTGAAACTAGAGACGTGTGAAGCACTTTGGGTACTAGTGTCCTCAGCTCTTTCCATGAGTCTGTCTGACCCAGAAAAAGTCTCTTGCTCCTTGCTCTCCTACAGAGAGAGCAGCAGAGGAAATTCCCCTTCTCTTATTAAACCCCAAGTAGTTAACAATATTTTTGCTTTTTAAGGTCATGCATGCCCATGCTGTAAAACCCATAGCACCCATTTGGTACCCGCA